ACTTACTTGCTTGCCTACCTTTGTGAGGGAAGTCTTTCAACACTTGGCCTTGTCCTAGCAGAGCCAGTTGTAGCGGAACCCATCAGTTCGTCACCGCCGGTGAAACGAGCAAAGGCCCTTCTTGGCTTTTGAGTTGTGGATGCCCCCAGTGTACAACGAAACCGGCTGCAAGTTTTGACAACACTCGCTTGACAAGAGTGTGGCAACACATTACAGAATTCATATATGCGCCACCCAGTGGTGCCCATGCCCAGGCTCGAAGTGCCCCGAGCCTAAGCATGGAGGCCCGTGCTTGCGGTGAAAAATGCATAATTAAAAGCGCCGTGAGCCGGACCCGGTTATGTACAAGTCACGGTCCAAAGCTGCGCCTGGCAGTACCCTGCCCCAAATCTTCCTCACATCGGGTTCACTTCCAGCTGAATTACACAGGGTCACTCCAGTCCGAGGAAGGGCACTTCCCACCAGGCGGATGAAGTTTGGGCTTGCCGCATCTGCAGCCGAGCGCTGCTGCGGCGGCGGCGGTCTGGACGGGGTAAGGAAACATGATGTCTTGGAGGCATGCCACTCCATGCCACAATAGCCAAGACTGACCGCCGATGATGCAACTGAGCAAGGCAAGCCCCAATTCTGGTGGAAAGAACTGCAAAATCAAGCTCTTTACAATTGTCTATGCGGTGTTTGCGCAGTTGGGCTCCGATCTTTGAGATGGAACAACCACGCGAAGTAGCGCTGAACCTTTGGTTCAAGTGCATTATCAAATCTGAAATATGAAAATGATCAGATAGCCATGCTCGGAACGCTGTGTGGGAAAACGTTTCGTGACCGCAGAGTAGGAGCATGTCGCTGTATGGGCAGAAGAAATACAACCTCACTGGCTCGATGCTGGTGATGGCATTGTCCTCACAGGCAACTTGGGCTCTTCGGACGCGAGGAATCCCTTCAGCCTCTCCGCAACCTTCCCCTGCAGTCTGTGGCAAAAGAAACACCGCACACCAAAAGCACGCCCATGCACCCGCTGTGCTAGGTTAATGAGACACCTCCATGTGGCTAGGCTGGGCTTGGGCAGGACACACATACGAAGACGGACCCGCAGACCATAGCATGTCTTCGCGCAGGAGCCCCAAGGCCGGATCCCTTCGGCTCTTGGGGTCGTGTCACGCCATCTGAGCACCCCGACACTACTCGAACGCCTCCAGCTGGCTCGCCTTGGAACTGCTCACGCCAGCGAGTTCTTATTGTGGCAGAGGTAATCATCTGGCAGAGGGTGCAAGCGTGAGAGCTGCAGCATTCACGCATGAAAACGCAGCCCGAGCCATGAAATATGCGAAGCCAGGTTGAATGGCCCGATTCTCTTTGCAGGATTCGTGGCTGTGCAAAGACTGGCTTCGAAGGTTCTTTGGTCCAGAGCTGCCTGCTTAGGTACGCTTTTTGTTTCAGCATCCGTTCCGAGTTCCGCACGCTCACGGCTTCAGGACTTCGCCCCAAAAGGCCGAGGCTAATAACTTTATGTGCAAGTTCCGTTCTTCCATGTCCAGTTCGAAAGTCTTTGTGATGCTCATAGAACCTACAGTGCTACAGGTCGACCCGGGGGTCCGGCGTGCATGCCCTCGGCGTCATCCTGAATACATCATGGCTCAGGATCTTACCTCTTTGCCTCTCATGCAGGGTTAACGTCGAAAGAAGGACAACACAATAAGGCAATGAGAGATCCTGTCCAAGCAGTGACCTTATGACTGTATGGGGGCTCAGGATCAGAACAAGCTACCCTTGCCTGGCCACACTCTTACAATGGGTCGGGCGGTGGTGATCGCGTTGGCGGAGAATTTATCTGGGCATCAGCAGCCAGGGGTCTGCTTGCAGCGTGGCTTTGCTTTAGAATGCAATATTCCAAAAGGATCTGCGAAATCGATCCAAGACATGCTGCAAGACAAATACCTGCGGAGTGGTGACCCAAAGACTCAGCCGAAAAGGCGGTCCTCAGGAAAGTCCAGGTCTCCAAAATAGAAGACTTCCTCGGGCGGGTCGGAAGGCAGTTCTCGCTGTAAGGTTCCATTGTAGGCAGTCTATTTCTGGGCGATTGGGCCTGAAGGCCTAAGGGCCAAGCTGTAGCCCCCAGGGCAGACTATGCGTAGAGGTCACGGAAGGCAGCTTGACTTGGGCACTTACGTACGCTTCGTGCAAGTAGCTGGGTGCACCCATGCTAAAGAGCCCTGCCCATGTGATGAACAACTATGAAAAACTACGGAATGCTAACTGGGGTTCACCGACTCCTGCTCGTTCTACTCTAGCTTTGCCACTGCATCCATAGCCGCTCTGCAGGCTATGGACATGCTTCACCCTAGTCCGAGCTTTGTTCAAATCCCTCTGTCACCGAAACCCCCCATTGAGGCCAGCATCGACGTCGGTGTCGTGCAACGTTAGGAGCGGGCTGGGCCCCTCCTTCCAGAAAGGACGGGTAGGGTAAAACTGTGCAGTTCAAGTCTGTTGAGGGTTGTGGTGGGTAAGTTTGATGCAAGACCTTCTGGACGGCTCGCTGTTTCTGGGACATGGAGGGTTGTCTGTCGCTCGACGAAGGCGTTCGGCAAGCTTGGGGGCTCGAACCTGCACCTGGCTTTGATCTGAACATGTGAAACGTGTAGGCCGTGTAAGCGATGATGGCTGTGCCAGCCACAAAAACCTTCTGGTCAGGATACTGGGAGAGGCTGGAATGCTACGGACAGCTGCAGGGCAGTATTGGAACAGTGTTGGAACAAGCTGGGCACTTGGAATGGCTCTGCAGGCCAGTACCCATAAAGCTTTGCCACGTGGAAAAGCCTTTCAGCCAAAGGCCTGCAAAGAACGGTGCCCAGAATGACTCAAGTCGAAGCGTGCCTTGGCAAGTGAGAGGCGCCTGTCGAAGTTGTGATTGTGATTTGTCCCCAGCCTTGGCAGCAGACTTGCTTCGGAGAGTGCAGGGAGCCGAGTAGTTGAGGGTTGGACACACGCATAAGGATCTGCGCTAAGCATGATGGCATGCAGCACGACCATATCATACTGCCCCCGGCCCTGCTTGCAAGTGCAGAGACCATCACATCGGAAACCCTTTGCAAGTCTCATCAGCAACCACCAGCACCATGTTCTTGGGCTCTGACAAGAAATTGCTGGTCGGTATAGCATAGGCACCTTGTCTAATGCACAAGTCTGTCAGCGAGTGAATCCTGGAGCGGTGGTTCTAGAGCGGCTCGCGTAGTACCGGCGAGTCCAGAGCCAGTCTCGATACTCTGTACTGTCGTTTAGAGGGGGTGGTAGCACATCCTTTCTCCAGCTCCTTGTTGGCACTATGATGGCGCTCCTCATTTTGACAAATCAAAACCCATAGCCGCCACAGCAGCTGCGAAGCCTTAAAGCCTGCTGCCAACGTTACTACACTCACCCAGATCCCCCGATGCTCTACGCCCGGAAGGCCTGACTGCCTGACGATCCAACCTCTCAGTTCATCTGGCACCAGAACAACTGACTGTGAATGCGGAGCTCATCATATGCTAGGGGGCTGTTAGTTGCGCGGGGCTGCAAGGCATGGAAATCATAGGGCCTAAACACCAGCCACATGTCCAGAGTCACCTTAGGAAGTCGAAGGATAAAGAGGGCCCGATCTCGAAGCCTTGCACCTCAAGAATGTCGTGAAGAAAGCAGCGCAGGCAAAGCCCCACCCTGTAAATTCAACCAAGGCGCTGCCCACTCTGACAACACCAGGTGTGTCAATGGCAAGGATAGGGCCGTCGTGTGTTACGGCGACCAAGCCGAGCCTGCAAACCACAAGCACAACGTTACAACACCACAAGCGCTAGGCGGTTCATCCGCAACGCCCGCTACAACTTCAGACGGCATGCACTACACCCTCAGGGCTGACCTCGTGGGGGTCCTTTTGTACGTCTTCAGCACGTCGCCGTTGATCTGACAGTCCAGTGTCTTCCATGCCGAATCACTGCTTCTGGCTCCCCACTCTGCCAGTCTACTTGCACATGAACTGTGTCTCCCCGTGCAGTCCCCTTGCATCCCTTTGCTCTTTCAACCGAGGCTTCTCTACGACCTTGCCACTGTGCGGTTCTCTCTGGTGTAGGTAGGCCCGGAGAACCCCCGTGCGCTGTGGCAAGGCTTCAAACTGCGAATTCTGCACCCGTGGCTGCCGCCAAGCATCTACGTTCTTGTAAAGCGGGCTGACATTGGCTTCCTGAGACGACAACAAGGCACTCTGTCCTCGGCCCTGAAGGCCTGCAAAACCGTACAGTCCCACTCCAGGAAAGCGAAGGACCCAACATCGAATGGCAAGTGGAGCCTGACTTACCGCAAGTTCTGCCGTCAAGAACGAAGCCGAAAGCCGACAGCTCGCTTGTCTGGTGCAACACCCGGCAGTTGGCTCGGCTAGACATGAGACCTACCACCGCAGCCACCTATCACAATGCAAGCATGTGCTGACAAGGAGTCTACAGGATGCAAGAGAGCCATGTTGGGTAGAACACATACAGACGGTGCTGCGAAGTCGTGCAGATGCAGAGGCTGAGGTCCGAGCAGGGATCACAGTCGCCCTCGGCAACGAATTCATTGTAGAGATTCATTGTAGACATGGAACAAGCAGTGGTCACGGTAACATGAGCACAACTCAGAGAGAGAGAGAGAGAAAGCAACAATTTAGCATAATGCAGCAGCAACTTGCAAACACCAAAGAACTCTTCACGCAGCAAAGTTGCCAGCTGCTAAAAGACTGCCGATCCGTCATGTCTATGAAATAGTTGATGGTGATGGCGATGATGATGATGATGATGGTGATGGTGATGATGATGATGATGATGATGATGATGATGATGATGACGGTGATGGTGATGGTGATGGTGATGATGATGCTGATGCTGATGATGATGATGATGATGATGGTCATGATGATGATGATGATGATGATGATGATGAGAAGGAGGAGGAGGAGGAGCAGGACGAGGACTGCAAAGGCGATGGTAATTGCGAGG